ATATATATATATATATATATATATATATATATATATATATATATATATATATATATTCCATACAATTACAATCATCCATACAATTACCAAATTTTATTTTTAAATAAAATAATACATTCTGTATGAAGTTATTTATATAAGTTAATTTCTGGCCTCAATGCATTGTGAGTAGGGTTTCCAACCTTGACTCTCAAGATGAACCGACTCACAGCTTGTTTGTTTGTTTAAATACTGAAGGTTGTACAATATGTAAAACTGAATCAAATACAATAAATGCAACTGAAAATATGGAACAAGCATATGGAGCAACTGCATGACAATATTATAGAATCAAATTAAACAGCACCTCAATGAGATGAGGAAGAAAGGAACAGTGCCCAGACAGTACACAAAGAAGGCGAGAGACTGCAGTGCCAGATAGATGTAGAACATTTTAGTGCAGCTACTCTCTCGCGAACACTGTCCAAGCACTGCAGAGGAATTCCCAGAAGTCAGTCCCCAGCTCTGGATACATGTACAGCCATGGAATGTCTGATAAACATGTGTAAGTAAATAAATAAATAATGAAAAAGAAAGTTAAAAACAAATACATGTAACAAAGAATTTGTTGTCAACAGTTAAAAGCAGTTGTTCACCATATTCTGTCTTGTGCCCCGAGTGGAATAGCAGTCAGCGTGACAAGGAGAGATGTAGGTCACTCCATTCTGTCCACACACTGGATCCCATAGGAAGTCAGGACACCCACAGTCAGCATTGCAAGAAGTGAGTAAATCACGGCTTATATCTTGAACTTCAATAGATCTGCCACATAAACAATTTATTATATTACACTATATATTCCTGTGACCCTATGTAGGACAAGCAGTTTGGAAAATGGAAACATTTAATGGATAGAAAGTGTTTATGTTCCATGATGCAATAAGATTTATACAACGACTATAAATCGAAATAAAAAAAAATAACCCTTGATAGGGCACTGTGACCCCAGCGACATCTATGTTTTCACAGCTGAGAGCAAAGTAAGGTATTATGCAAATCAACGAGGTTACAGAGGTGAAGAACATCAGTCTTGCAGATCCCAGCAGACCTAGTTTAAATCTCTTCATTATCCAACCACTCAGGAACATACCCAGAGCCACTGGTGGAATAGACGTCACTCCTGTACATATAAGCACAGCTAGTTTAAACAGCTGTTATAAAAATAAATAAAATGATAGCAGTTGTTACCTATGAGAAAATTGGTCTTGGATGTGCTTTGTCCAAACTGCTGCTCCAAATACTTTGGCGTGTATGTTATGACAATGGCAAAGGCATTGAATGCCAATACACTGTAAACCAGGTACAAGAGATAGATCCCATTGGTGAGCAGACGCTTTAGAGATGGCCCAAAATCTAGAAAACAAGCAAATAAGCATCATTTTCATTTTAAAACAAACATAATACTTTATAATTAATAATAATAATAATTTCAATCTTCTTTAGTTTCATACACTGTTTTGATCTGTGATATACAAAATTTGAATTTATGGAGAATCTCTTGGCCGCCTTTTGAATATACAATTATATACAGTGCCCTCCATTAATATTGCCACCCTTGGTAAATATGAGCAAAGGTGGCTGTGAAAATAAATGTGCATCGTTTATCTTTTTGATCTTTCATTCAAAAAAATTCACAGAATTCTAACTTATCATTGAAGTAAAACAATGGAAAGTGAGGGGAAACTCACATTATGAAATAAATGTTTTTCTCCAATGCATGTTGGCCACAGTTATTGGCACCCCTAGAAATTCTAATGAGTAAAATATCTCTGAAGTATATTCCCATTCATGATTTTTTTTTTTAAGCACACCAGGGTGACTAGGAGCATGAACTTGTCCAGCCATGACTTCCTGTTCCCCAGGATTATAAATATGAGGAACATAAATGCCAGATTCCCTTAAAGGGGTCATATGATGCTGCTAAAAAGAACATTATTTTGTGTATTTGGTGTAATGAAATGTGTTTATGCG